ACAACATAATGAACTAATTCATCACAATACCTGAAAACTCTGACTTCACTTTTTTGAAAAATGAAATGGTCTTTCCTTTTACTCCCGATCAATAATCAAATATATTTTCTTGAATTATGAATAACACAAATGGATTGAAATATTTAATTAAATTATCTCAAAACCTTCATTTCGGTGCAATATTGAAATTAGCTTCAATTCTTCATAACCTCTGAATAGTGGGTAACCCAACGGGTCATGGGTGGTCTAGTACTAATTAATGAAAACTATAAGTTTAAAGTTCTAGACATCATGAAAACTCCATTTCACTATACATTTTACTGTTAGCAAGTTTGTATTGTACCTAGGTGGCCTTGATCCACTGCAATAGCTATGGTGTCAACAATATGTGCAGTTTTTTTTGTGAGTGAAATTTATCAGTACATGCAGCATTCACTACCAAACTAGTATTATCTTACAATGTCACAGAGTTAGTGTTTGTACAGTGTCTACCAAAGTTCACCAATATTTTCTTGAATAGTAATGTTATGTGTGATACTACCTACATAAAAGGTGTGGTCATGGAACAGAATGTCAACCAACTGAGTAAGGGGTGTTCCAATGTTACATCTTGAGTTAATTACTTGATGTATAGTAACGTAATTTGTTCAACCTATTTTAATAATGCTAATTTTTTCAATAGAACATCTATTAATTATTTTTCATTTTGTAAGAAAGAACGTATAAGAACTGAAATTGAGCTTTATTCAAAGAATATTTTTGTATGTTTACCCAAATTTTAGAAGATGAAAGTGAACTAAGAAAGCATTTAAAACTGTGTTAGAAGTATAAGTTTGTTCCAAACATCTAATAATTCTGAAGACAATATGTTATTTTCTCTTTGAATTTTGTTTTGTTGGCACTAAAATGCAAATCCTCTCAAATCACTTTAAAAGGGCCTGGTATGAAACATGTACAAGATTCAAAAAGGTGTATTAATTTATCATGCTTCTACAAACCAAATGTTGTGTACACTGTATTTTCAATGTCTCGGCTCATGCTTGTGAGCATATGAAAATTATAACATCACTTTGCTATTAAATAACATTTCAAAACTTGACCTCAACAATTGGTCAGGCTGTTATGAAACTTTTCATAGCTGAATCCTGCAGAACAAATGGTTAAAGACCAGGTTATTTTGCTATTGTTTAGGTATGTTAATTTTGTGTTGCATGTTTCACATCTTGGACAAGGTCAATGCCAGTCTTTTTCCAGAGATGACATCCATCCAGCTTAAATATTTTGATCACTAAAAACTTAAACATTAATGTTTCCTGAGTAGGATTTCAATAACAAGGTCAATTATTGAGTACTATTCCTTTAATCTATAAGTACAATTACTATCTTGTAGATAGTCTTTAAAATATAATGTTTGTTGCTCATTTTATCATTCATGTTTAATTATTATTGCTTTATCGTGTCTATTCCAAAGTAAATCTTATCTATGGTTATGGGGTTTTAAAAGGTTTCACTGGTGCCAATGGTTGAGTTGCTGCAAACAATGTCAGTTTAAGGTTCTTTTTGTTATATGAAATTCATGTAAGAGAGGTATTATTTTGTAGAAGATTAGATTAGTTTTATTTTACTTTTTGCTTATTTGATGCATACAGTTAAGAACCATCTTCAATAATGACAAGTGTCAGTGCATTAACAAGTGTTTTACATGTTTTTAACATTTCAGCATTATATTATACAACCGTATTAAGAAAAATTTGTTTAATTTAAAGCAAAATTTAGTACGATACAAAGAAGTGGCTTCACAGTTGTGCTTTCTGCTAGATAACTCGTGAGGTGTAAAGCATGTGGCTGTACCAATCTATGTATTTATGATACATGGAATGTTTCTTTCAGTGTCTTATTGTTGATCTTAGAGGATTATTTCCTGTTAAGTGCTGTATTAACAATGAATACTGTAAAAGCATTTAATGTTAAATATTATGTTCTGACTGTAAACTGATCTTAACTTGTTTAAAGATGACAGTTGATAGAAAGCAAATGACAGTTTTCAGATTGAGTATAAACTATTGCTGTCTGACTTGATAAAAATAAAGATGATTTATGATGAAAGCTTTCTAAAGAATAAATAAATGTACAAACACCAAAATTAAGCATGTATACTTTCCACCAGATATGCCTTTAAGTTGAACCCTTGCATGATGCTTATTATAGTAAAGAAGAAAAACAATTTTTTTTAGCATTTTCATCTTTTGTCAGGGTTTCAGTTAATAAGAGGCAGTAACAAAATGTATGTGAAAATGTCCAGTCATGGACAAAGTATTCAGATTTTGACTGATTACTGATTTATTTTGTACTCTGCTGTAAGAGTGTGTTTCAGTCTTTGAAAACAATATTTCAGGGATTCACTTTATGAATGAAATTT